AAATGGGACAGGAGATGGAAAGAATGAGTTAGCTTCTCATGGATTTCATTTGATCAAGAATTTTCTATTATTATTATAGTCAGTAGAAAAGTCTGTAAGAAAATACAGCTATTAAATATCAGTTAAAGAGGAAAAATATTTTTTTCCTGCTATATGTAAGCCTGTTGGCTTCAAAGAGTTTCAGATTGATTCGTTGATTATTTCTTGGTTCAATTTAAGCACTATTGTGACAAGCACGCTTACTAAAAAGCTGAAGCAAGCAAAACACACTTCAGAAAATGTTTCTCTGCCTCAATCTATAAGACTCCATCTATCAAGTATGTGTTCTAACTGTATGGGTGACAAATAGTTCAACAAATCTAATAGAGAAAGAAAACCTCTGCAAATTATAAAGAATTTCCTGTGAAGATTCAATTTGCCATCTAAACTTAGGCGGTATTATTATTATGCTTAGATCTTATTAGACACATGGATCAGATGACTAAATCAGCATATATCCTAGGTACACACTTCTTGTATTCTCATCCCATTATGATAATCAATAGGTTATAGTGCATTGCGGTAACCAGATGAGTAAGCAAGGTAAAACCTTGTTAGCATTTGGCTGGGAGACTTGCAGGGAATGTCAATGCTCCAGACCAGACTAGGAAATTGAAAAACATCTCAGAATAAGGCAGTGGCAAACCACTTCTGTATGGTCGGCAAATAAATAAATAAATAAATGAAAAATTACATGGCCATGTGTATAAAATCACCAGAAGTTGGGTTTGACTCTCCAGCATTTCATATAAGCCTCACTCACTTTTGCCTAGGATAAACTGAAGCTGGGAGCTTCTACGTGGCCTTTCTTTATTAAAAGTATGACCTAGTAAGAAACCTATTTGTTCAGTGCATGTTCATATAGAGCAATGTTTCTCAACCTTGACAGCTTGGAGATGTCCAGACTTCAACTCCCAGAATTCCCCAGCCAGTTCTGTAGGAACAGAACTGAAGGAGCTTCAGGTTAAATATTTCAGAAAATTTTAAAGAGACACATTTTAGTTATAGGACACAAGTTTTTAAAGATTGTTACTGGCACTTAACAAGTATCTTAATTGAGTATTACGTTTACTAAGTCTCATATAGAAATTAAACTGCTTTCACAGAAATATTATACATTTTTATTTACTGACAACTTTGGATTATAACCGTTTCCAATTATTTTTAGTCTAATTTTACATAGCAACAACTTAGATTTGTTTAGTTCACTGTTTAATAATTCCTTTATCTGTACCTATTTTATATGTGATCAAAATTAATAAAGTTGATTTGAAAGAATGTTAAATTATGCAAGTTTTTTTAAAAGGTTTTAACTGAAGCTTTAGTTTACACTATAACAGTATCTATTGTACCCATTTATTTTTTGAACCTAATCAAAATCCAGAGAGCTTCAATAGAAATATTTTCCCACATCATCATCTTCATAAAGAAGGAATTTCAGGATAGTTTCAACTAGTTAGTGTTATGTTTAGATGTCAGTGAAGGACAACATTTTGACTTAATTCATTTCATATTCTAACTCATAAACATGCAAACCAATATGAGGCTGGAGCTGATCTGGTAAACATGCATAATCAGTAAGCAGATTTCTTGACAAGTTCCTCCTTTCTCTAAGGACAAGAGAAGAATGTTCATAAAATATATCACTATTTCCAAGAGACTCTAAAACACTTGTTTACCTCAGTTTTCACAATAGCAAGATTGTATGTTGTTACTTTAAATAAAGCAATAAAGTGTGCACTGATGCAGTACATAATTTTGAACCTGTTTATAATCTGTTCTAGTACTTAGTATTTTTTCCTTGCTGCTATATTCTACAAAATTTCATTTTCTAGCTCCAAATTCAAGAAATAAATTGAAAGCTTCAAAATACATGTTTAAGTTTAAAGAATGTTTCCTAATCTCCATTACAATATATTGTCAACACCAACATGTTCTCAGAAGATACAGCTTCAGTAGCAAGTTTCACCATTCCGAAAATTTTCAGCAACGTTGACTTTATTGAAAACACAATATACACGTGTTGTGAAAACAGTTTTATTACAGAAGACAGAGTGCTGAAAAAGAATTCCTTTCAAAAGATAATTTCTTCTAAGGCAGACAAAACTTCCAGCACACAGAAAAAGTTACAAAAGCCAGTGTACAAAAATGGAATGTTTTTTTCCAAACTGAAGAATCGATAGCTTATTACGAGGGTTCTGCAAAGCACTCAGCAGAGGTACTTTCTTTCTGCCTTTACACAAAGAAAGCTCTTCTCTCTTATTAAAGTAGCTGTGTCTTTTACAAGCCTCATGTGGCTGCTCCAAAACCAGTTCAGCGAAAGACAGATTTTGAAGCTCTGTCTTTGAACTCTGCACAAAATATAAGTGTTTTAGTAGTTTGAAGAGGGGTGCTTCATGTGCACTGTGTACTCTTCAAAAGCATCTCTTTTGAATGCTTTGCATAACTCTACTTATTATGGAAATCCCTGCTAGCATGATTGGGTCACACTGCAGAGGTAGGCACTTCACTTCCCATGCCCCCTCAAAGATATATCTCAAACACATCACATTACGTTTAGTGGTTGAAATACTAGCATATTTGCAATTAAGGCAGAGTTTGTGATAAGAGTACAGTAATAATGCACAAAGATAAGTGATTTAACAACTGACAATATGAAGGGATGGGGTAAAACAGAAAACAATCTTATTCTATGTTTGCAAGAACATAAAGGCTGAACATTGGCTCAGAGACAAAGTTACTGAGAACTTAGGTGATACAACCATATCAAGGTAGCAGTGCCCTGCTCCCTTAATGCATATTTAGCACAGCTTTATATTTCAGGGGAAAGAAATAACTCAAAGATTATTTTATCACAGACATTCAATACCTCTAATAACATTATATTAAACATATTTTAAAATATACCTAATAAGAATTCAGCCAGGTCAAAAATTGGAAGTTACTCAAATCGAATTTAAGGGTTCAATTACTATTGAATATGTACTATAATAATTTAAGAATTAGGCAAGACAGAGCATTTGGGGTTTCTTTGTCTTAAAGTGCAAGATCTTACTATTGGCCTAACAGGTTCACATTCTGTAAGCAAGGACATTATTGCAACTGGTATTTGAGAGAATTCTCTTATTCTCTCCCTAAACTAAACCTACTACTTCAGACAGACATATCGGACAGAAGTTTATTTCTACAAAGACTTAAAAAGCCTAGCAAAATATACTTAAAGGGCTTTCTTCTTCATTTGCTACCACAGCATTCTTAAGCAGTGTTTCCCAATTTGATGATTCCACGAGGACTTCATGCTGATTAGGAAGTTAGGGGATTTCATTTCTACTTGGAGAGCATCAAGTTAGGGAAAGCTAACATGGAGCAGCAAGATATAAAGGCAGAAATTGATAACTGTATGACCCAGTGGGATCCAATCCAATAGCTGGTATGAAATTATGAATTTCTCGATGTGGATATCTGCATTTTCCAGCACTTCTATTACTACCCTTCTGTTACTCAAAGGTAACAGAAATAAATGTAAGATGCAATGCACATCAGAAGCAGCTGTTATGTTAAGTTCAACTCTCTGAAGACATTAATAGAGAAAACGGTAATATGATCTCAGCTGGTATTCAAAAGAAAGGATTTACATAGTTAGGAAATCCTCAAGGAAAAAAAAATAAAGCAAGCTTCACCAAACCCCTCAAGTTTACACATAATTTCTCACCACTTTATATTCAAGTAACGCTAAAAGCCAAGACAGGAATATATGAAGCTTAGAGTTCTCCTGTCCACCATAACAATTTACCTCTGAAACAAGTAAGGAACTTGTATCTTTTAAAATGTTGTCCCCAATCTTTTTCAGTGCTGCAATAATGCATCAGGAAGAGGCACCATCAAGTGAAATTCTGACTTTCGTATTTTAAGAGTCCTTTTGTGCCACAACAATCTACCATAAGGGAGTTTGCAATTACCACTATCACTAATACCTATACATTGGCTCACTATAAAAACAGGATATTAAATATACACACTTATACATCTATACAATATATTCAAAATTTATAATGTACAGATCTGGGCAGTTGCATATTTAAAGCATTGATAATTTTAAATGCTCCCACAGACAGCAGATATAGGAAAAAATCACATATGGAGCATTTACATATTCAATCCTTAAGACAGAGGCCTTGTACACCTAATTTTAATACATTACTTAAAACTGTCTTCTCTCTATTCATTTATAACCAGTGTATACTCACTATCAGCGAAATACAAAAGAGAGTTACAATAAAAATGAATTCTTCCATGAATGTCAAGCTTGCAGATCTCCAAATATGCTTGCTTGGTAAGGCAGCACGATACAATTAACCTTCCAAGATCTTTAGAGTAAAACAGCCAACAATATTTATCAAAGAAGTTATACTTAGCTAATTAGACAGTTACAAACATTGGTTCCATTGTGTACAAAATTAGAATTAATGTGGGTACTCCTCATTGAAATCCTCATGAATTTCACCAAAGGCAAAATTGGTGATTTTTTTTTTTAAATAAGCATAGTACATCATCAAGATAAACCGATTGCAAATACTCTCAAATAACTCTTAACATGCACACACACTAACTTTCCTTCTTATGAGACAGAACCAAGGAATATGCCAATGCATAAATGGGACAAAAGGAATGCAGCAAAAATTGCCAATATGCCAGTGTCTGCTAGTTTAAATAATCTTAGTATACTGTTCTACTGGGAAACCAGAACATGAAACATAATATGATCCTCTTTAATGAGTTACCACAGTGATAAATAATGCAACAGGAATAAAATATTGAAAGATAAGATGGGAAAAGAGGGCATTCAAAATCTGAGATGTTTGTCTCCCCACTTAGATTATGGTCCACTTTTGTCATATTTGGCCAACATGAAGATGGTGGGAGAGGCACTACAGAGAAGAAGTTAGCTAGCAATAAAGGCAGAAGTCTTGATGTCATTTTATGTCAAGGCAACATGTGTAAAAGGCCATGAATAGAAATGCTTGTAGAAATGGAAGGGTTCTTATCTATTTTTATGGCTCCTACTTTTCTCTGCTAACTACAGATTCTGTTGCTTGTCAGACAATGATTCATGTAACTTAGAGTGAGGAATTATACTTGCTATCCTGTTATGAGACAACAAATTAACTCCACTAAGTTCCCTCATAAAATTTGCAATCATGAATTTTAGAAGATAAAGGACTCAGGACATTTAGAAATGGTCTCTTGATAGCATGAAACTAAAAGAACTTTATGGAGAGCCCCAGAAAATGCACTACATGCTTAGCTAGTGTTTTCCAATACATAACCTGTTCTTTGGACTTTTTAAATCAAACATGTTAATAGAAAGTAGTAAAATCTCATCCCATTTCCTTCAGAATTACCAGAATATCCATGTAACTTCCAAAATAAAATCATTTGAAGAAAAGATTCTTGTGCTACACATTAAGTATTAGTTTTGCCAGTGAAAATGAGGCATAGTTTATCTTGAGATTTTTCATAAAATTCATTATCCTCAGGAGAATAATATTTGGTAGCTTTGTCCTCTGATTCACAAGTTTACTTAACAACTTAATGCTTTGTTCTTAGGCAGGTGTGTGCTGTTTCAAGAGTCATTGGTTGTGCAGGTGTTCTAGTCCTCAGTGTAAGAAGATACCCAACTTGGCCTGCCAAAAAGTAGCAAAAACAAAACTTTCATAGCCATTTTTTCCATTAATTCGTCTGATTTATCTTATGAAAGGCAGAAAAGGCTGCTCTTCTAACACGGTGTCTTGCAGTTTCAAATGGGAATGCACTGTTAATAATAGAATGTATTAACTGCAGTAACAGAAGGCATTCTTTTTGGGAACAAACAGAAATGAATATTCCTCTTTAAAAAAAATCCTACCCCTCTCACAGTCTGTCCTTTAGTTTGCAATTCAACTGCTGATACATGTCTTCAGACTGGAACCCACATACAGAAAAGCTTTTGAAAACAAAGTAACGTTCACTAACCAGAAAGATCACAGCCTTTGCTGCCCATCATAATATGAGTGTCTAAAATATCCACATCACATCTACAAATGTTTATTCCATAGTATTAAATGAAGAAAATGGGAACATTTAGGTAGGTATTATAACATCCTCAAACTGCCTTATTCTATGTAGAAGTTATATTGAACTACAAGTAGTCCTCAACTTAGGACCATTTGTATTGTCGAAGGCTTTCACCAAAACCAAGGCTGACACCAAAACAAGCAGCCACTCAGTAACCCAACCCCCCCACACACAGACCCAATCCCCTCTTCCGCCCCCCCCAGATCTCTATAAATACCCACAAAAGGGTCACATCACCCTGGGCTGAGAACTGCTCCTGTCTGTGCTCCTGCACTCTGAAGATGCCGGTCACAGGTGCTGGCGAAACGTTAGGAAACAGAACTTCAAGAACACGGCCACACAGCCCAGAAGACCCACATTAGGACCATTTGTTTAATGACCATTTGAAGTTACGATGGCATCAAAAAAAGTGACTTACAACCAGTCCTCCTGCTTACGACCATCACAGCATCCCCGTGGTCACATGATCAAAATTCAGGCGCTTGGCAACCAGCGTGTATTTACGACAGTTGCAGCATCCCAGGGTCACATGATCACCATTTGTGACCTTCCCAGG